GTGCTGCTATGAACATTTATGTGGCAGTATCCCTATAGTACGCTCTTTTAAGGTCTTCAGGGAATAGTCCAAGAAGGGCGATAGCTGGGTCAAATGGTGGTTCCATTCTCAGCTTTCCCAGGAATCTCCATACTGCTTTCCAAATTGGCTGCACCAATTTGCAGTCCCACCAGCAATGTACAAGTGTACCCTTTTCCCAACATACTCGCCAGCACTCGTTGTTGTTTGACTTAATAACGGCTGCCAATCTTATTGAAGTGAGATGGTATCTTAGGGTGGTTTTGATTTGCATTTCTCTGACTGCTAGAGATGGTGAGCATTTTTTCATGTACTTGTTTATTGATTGTATTCCTCCTCTGAGAGTTTTTATAGTAGTAATGCAGTGGCTGACACACAATAGGCATGCAAGTTATCTACTCTGAAAAATAAATCTTAAATTATCTCTTTGTGCATCTACCTGCTACTTAAACCCAAACTCTTATTGACTGATACTTCTTTCCCAGAGTTTCTCCAGAGAGTCTGTGTGAAGTGTGTGGGAGTGCTGTCTACCTGGTTTATATCTTGATTTCACCTCCCCAATATTGTTATAGTTCATTTACTCCCTTGTAGAATGGAGATTGTTGTCTGGATTGACTGATTTAATGTACATAAGCCCTTAACACAATGTGTAGGAAACAACAATGGAATGTTGGGTGGTGTCATTTTTCATTTTATCTATGAAACAGCTTCACCTGTTTCATAGATATTTCTATGAAACAGCTTCACCTGTTTCATAGATATTTTTCATTTTATCTATATGCAGGGCCAACACTGGTCACAATATTAAAGACCTTTGTCATCCTTTTTTGGAGAAGAGTATATCTCATTAATTATAAATCTTTAGTTGAAGTCTTATGAAATTGAAATGAAGATGACAGGACTTTGACAATTTGAATCAACCAGACATTAAAAATCTTTGTTCTTTCAGTTTTTTATTTCACAGAGATATAAATTCAGGAAATTCTTGTTTGAGCAAGAAAATACTTTTGCAGAAGATGGGAGAAAAAATAGCCTCAGCCAAGATAAAAATGAAAGAACAAAAAAATTGTTCATCACAGGCTGCCACATGACTTGCCAAGTTGTAAGCATTGTTAAATTAAATAAGCAGAAAACCATTGGTGAAGCTGTCTCATATTCGAAGCTCCTTTGTAAAAAACCATAACTTAAAGTAAGAGTGTATATTTGTAACAAATAACCAGTTTTCAGTCCATCACAAACAGTTGAGCTTCAGCCAATCAGGAGAAGTCAACGTATTAGGCCATGCCCAAATAAGACAAAAGCATAGCTATAGCCAATCAGATATTTCTCTATTTTGCTTCTGTGTTGAGTCTATAAAGGCTTGCAGTTCACACTGTTGAAGAGCTCTTTGAACTGCTTCTGGTTCTGAATCCTGCTTGATTTCATAAATTGCTCTTTGTTTAAACAAACTATTAAGTTTGATTCATCTCAAGTTTTTCTATTAACACAGTATTCAAATTAGATGTTATATGAACCTACCTTGTAACTATAAAATGGTTAATTGTTTTGTAAGTAAAATATCTTTTGTTAGCAGAACATTTATGAAACCATGTTAATGAAATTGGATGTCTAATAGCAATATCTTATTTAACTCATTTGAATCCTCTTTTCCTTCTCCCTACTTATTCCTTCCCATCTTAGTAAATAACAATGCTCCTTATACGTTATTCCAGCCCTAAATCTGAGCCTGACAGTTGACTCCTTTTCTTTCTTAGACTTGCTACAACTATCTATCAACACATTTTATTGACCCAAGGCTCAAATTTTAAACACTAATTTTTAAACAATTCTATCACACTATAATAGTAGTAGTCTCTATCATCTTTCACCTAATCTGCTCTCTATATAAATATTCTATAGATCCTCAATATTTCTCTTATCTCCTATAGTTTCCCTATAGCAGCTACCATGACCCTCATTAAAGGTTAAATTAATTCAAAACTCTTCAATGGCTTACCCTCCACTGGAAGTTGGATTTTATCTTAAGTCCTTGCATATAACATAATCTGAGCCATATGTTTCTCCAGTTTTATGTTTTAGCATTCTTCCCATACCTCATTCTGCCCCAGCCATAGTGGTCTTCTTGATGTTGAACAGACCAACATGATTCTGCTCTCAGAGCCTTTTGTTCTTATAACTCCTTATGACTCTAATATACTTCATCCAGATAGTTGCATGAAACCATTCTCCTTCATTCAAACCTCTGCCCTAATTTCCGTTCCTTAGGGGCCTTTCCTGAGAACACTAGTTAAAATAGAACAGACATTAACCTGTAACACCCACACTACTCTATTTTTTCCTTATAGCACTTTTTACTACCTAATATGTTTATTCTTTTATGGAAGAAAAATAAATGTTTCATGAGAGTAATATTTTTAAGCTTTATTCACCACTATATTACTAGTACCTAGAAGTGTTTGGCATGCTTGGCATAGAGTGATCAACATATATTTCCTTAATAAAATAATTTATTCTTTAAAATTATTATTAATAATTATCTTAAAATTATTTTATGGTTTTGAAGTGTGAAAGAATTAAGCATTAGATGGCTGGGAATGTAGATCGGTGAGTGTGCATTTAGCTACATGCTGAAGAACCTGGATTGATACCCAGCATTGAAAAAAAAGAATAAACATTAAAGTTAATTCAGATGTTTTCTTTGATAAAATATAGGGATTTTAGTCTATTATTATTGCTTACATCATATTTGCCTTTCCTGCTAAAAGATTTCTTTTATAAAATCTAACTATAAAACTTTTTTAAGAATCTAGAACTATACAACTTAAATGAAATATGGAAAACCTGAACAATATTTTGAAGAAAGAATCTTTAAAATAAAAATATCTATGATTTTTAAAAATTGATAACCTTAAGTTTCTTCTTGGTTTTTATGAAGACTGATTATATAAGCATTTGCAGCCAAATGAGAAACCAAATCATGCTTCTTAATAAATATGCCATACAACAAAGCAATAACATGGCTAGGTGTTACTTGTTACCACACTAATAATTTATCAAAAGCTAAACTTTCAGGAAAACTAAAATGCCCCCAAAGAGCAACCACAATCATCTCACTTTTATTTGCCCTTTGCACTGCCCTACTTTGCTTAGCCTCAAATCATGCCTGGAGACACAAGAGTTGTAATGACAGCAATGAGAATAGAATCAAGGACAATACCTGTGGCTAGGTCAATTAAAAACTTACCAAGGTAGCTAATTGCCAAAGTATACACATTTAGTTTTTGCTGTTAGGATTATATATTTTATTTTCTTGGTATTGTCCTGAACCAGACATAAGACATTTTGTATTTAAAATCAAAACTGGATTTGTGTTGAATATGTCCCCAGCACATATTCCTGTTTGAGTCATTACATTCAAGTTTGCAAAAGGTCTGTTTTAATAGTTTCAGGGGAAATTTTATTATTTGAACTTTAAAACTGAACAAATTGATTCACAAAGGCAAAGAGATTTGAACGATAGGTGAGTCATATTTATCTGGTTTGTACATTATGCTTCCACGATGGGTGTTTTTACACACACACACACACACACACACACACACACACACACACAATGTACCCAGGCTAACATACAAATTTTATATGTTTTTTATGTTGAGCTCCAACAAAAAGTTTCATCCTTTTCCAAATTTTAGCTTGCAAGTGGCTCAAAACTCCATTTTCTATACCCCCTGAAACAATTTCAATGTGATGATTCCTTTGGGCATAGATTTCCAGGAGATTACTACTAGGTTAAAGCTGGACTTTTTTTTAGCTGCTTTTGCTGTGATGGTCCATTTCCAAAATCGGGCAGCAAGGAGCTTTTGAAATGTAAACTTCATAAATAGGGAGGGAGAGAGGGAGAGAGAGAGAGAGAGGTATCATAAAGTGGGTGAGAGAATGTAGGGAAGGAAAATTCCCACTTCACAAAGCTTTTTAACAAGACATGGTGTTTGAGGATAGAGACTCCCCCAGTTGAACCTCACGTCTCAAACCCTCTACAACGTGATTCTCTAATTAAACAACAAACCAAACCCCAAATTGTCCCCGAAATAATCATTCCAGATCCGCCTGTGGCATCTGCCTGTATCTGGGGATTTTCCATCTCACTGTTCTTCGTCATTCTCAATACCCGCCAGGGAAGCACCCTCAAGGGAGGGAGAACCGAATCTGGCTCTAACGTATAGGTCAACTGTCCTCTTCTGCAAAAATGCGGGGCCTGAGGTTTCGGGACAGGGACCGGGTGGAGCTCAGGGACCCCTGGATAGGGTGACGCCCCTGGAGCCTCAGCTCCGAGAGGAGGGGCCGCCGGGGCCTCTGATTGGCTGCCTCGGGCGCACCGCCCCTCCACGCCCTCCTCCCTGGTTTCCGTCGCGAAGGACGCGGCGTCCGTTGGTTGTCAAGATGGCAACGGCGGGGTCTCTGCCGCCACCTCTGCTATTGCCAAGCAAGGACGCCGCCGTCGCAGCTGCAGTTGCCACCACAGTCACCAACGCCGCTGCGCGGGAGCCAGGGCTGCCGCGACCAACCCTCCAGCGCCCGTGACGCGAGGCCTGAGAGACGGATTGTAGGGAGGGGCCGAGGAGAAGAGCAGGAAGCCGGAGCCGCCATGAGGGAGGCGCTGGGGGTGAGCCGGGAGGCGGCGCTGAGGTGAAGGATGCTGACCCGGAGGCCTGGAGGCCAGAGCGCGGTCCCTGGTCTGGGCACTGAATCCTCGGACTCGCCGAGCAGAGCACCTGTCAGCCCTCGGGAGAGGGGCGGGCACCATCGACTTGGCGCTTACCTGTATCCTTCCCAGCCTGTGGCTGTCCGGGTAGCGGTGTTCGAAGTGGGGCCCGTCTTTTATCCATTAGATTCCCATTACTTCTGACGCAAGGTGATTCAAACTAGCAAGTCATCTTAGTGGAGATATTTGCTTAGCAACTGTCATTTTCCCCCTCTGGACCTAAAATTATGTCATTTATCCTATTCTATAGGCGCTTTCCTTGCCACCGTTTCCCCCACGACCAACCCCATTCTTCAACTTCTTTTCAAATTTTTGTGAATATTTTTTTAAATACATCAACAGTGTAGTCTGTGGGAATAATTTTTTGCCCTCTAGAATTATGCCAGGATGTTCTTGCATATTAACCACTTCCTGATTAACAATACTACTTGGAGAGATTGCACAAATAAGTAAAATGCTTTCCTATCCTGAGGAGGCCGTTTTAGCTATCAATCTAGCACACCCCTAATCTATTTGCCAGAGCTACTAGACCCTATGACAGTTTGGTCATTTGTTTTCCCTCTTAGCCCAGTCGGTTGTCAGAGAGATGGCAAAGAGGAAATGAGAAGCAAAATTCCTGGACCTTCACAATCTGGACCATTTCAGATTTTCTCGTAAGAATTGGCCCACTTTCGATGTTGCAATTAAATACATTGTAGAAAATTGAAGAAGTGAGTTTGCTTTTCAAAATTATAAACCATGCTTATTCCTTCCGAGAATATGATATTTGGAATTTAACCTTTATGTTCTCAAAGGACTTTGGTTGGCAGTGATGGTGCTGTGTAATGATCATCTTCATTCTTAGGAAATGGAGTGGCTTCTCTTTCCAAGTTAACCCCTAAGGCTCCCCATTCCCATTTTCTTATACCTGTTTTCTTCCTCTCTTGTCTCCAATTTCTTCCAGGACATTTTTTTTATATTCCATTACAGCTTTATGTAATGGAATATAAAAATCAAGTTACAAAACAATTTTTTGGGAGAGTCTGCTTTGTGGCCCACTTTGTTCTAGATTACAGAGATCCAAATCTATGCAGAAAGACTGGTATGTACAAAACTTCACTAATGGTAAAATATCCCCCCTCTGATCATGCTTTTCTCAAACTTCCATCCATTCTCCCTTTTCTTTTTTTTAATTTATTTTTTAGTTGTAGTTGGACACATCATCTTTATTTTATTTATTTATTTTTATGTGGTGCTAAGGATCGAACCCAGGGCCTCATACATGATAGGTGATCGCTCTACTGCTGAGCCACAATCCCAGCCTTTCCTTTTCTTTAGCCAAGTTCTCAAAACACTAGTCTGCAATAGCAGCTTCTAGTTCCTTTAATTTATTCATTATTAATCTCATTGAGTTTGTCTTTTGCCCTTGCTGCTCTAAATTTTCTCAAAAATATAATCTGAAATAAACAGCATTGTCATCTATATGAATATAATTCTTCCTTCTTCAAACTTATTTTCTTGAGCACTGAACACCTATTATACTGTGCCTAATATATCTCTAAATCAAAATATAGGGAAGCATTGTAAATGGCTGGTATACATAATATATGTTTCTATATAGAGAAACATATATTGAGATGGAGGGAATCTGGACATAATAAAGATTGTAACACTAAATCAAGACTTTTTTCATAGATAGAGATACACTAATACATCTTTTTATAGTTTATTATTTTGGATGTGTCTATAATGTTTCCTATTGGACTCCTAATATACAGTAGTAGGGGCTCAAATTTATTAAATTAATGACTAAATGAAAAGAAAACAAAAAAGAATCATAATCTTAAAATAAGCAAGTGTAATGGTAAAACTTTTAGGAGTGATTTCAAAAATAAAAGCAATACTCAGAGGCCTTCCAGCTTTCTGTTGAAGATGTTCTAACTGGAGTCAGAATTTCCTCTAAAGATTATAAAAGAATAAACCTTATATGATCAAAATTAACTAAGTTTCTATCATTTGAATCTCTTACAAGAATTCAAATAGAAATAGAACAAAATTTGTTAAGAAAAAAAAAGACAATAATGAAAAAGTTCAGCATTCCATACTATGCCTCTTTTTTAACATTTGAATCAGATGGGATATAATTTCTCATTTTTCTGAGCATACAGGTTGCAGAATTACATTGGTCATGCAGTCACGTATATACCCAAGCAATAATAATGTCTATTTTATTCTGCTGTCCTTTCATTCCCCCCTTCTCCTCCCTCCCCTCCCATCACTTCTTTCTACCCAATCTAATGTGACCCACTTCTTTTTTTCCCCTCACATCATCATACCTGTATTACCTCCAGTCCTTACCCTTCCATTTTATCCTAACACCCCACATTTCTGTCTTACCCAGTTTATGCCATATTCTTGATTATTTATACATATTCTCTCACCAACATTCTTTGTTCTTTGCACCCCTATCCTGCTTCAGTCACCCAGAAACTACCATAGTCCTGCTTTTCTATGCCTTCATGTGTATAATAAAAACGTTGTCAGAGAAAAGTCATAAGACAACACAGATTGGCACCATGAAAGATTAATGGTTTCCAGATTTACCTGGATGGGAACAGAGTTCTTTTTCCTTTTAATGCCTGTGCCACATATCTATCTCCTCCCACCACTCTTATAGTGACTACCATAGAACATAGATTCCATGAACTGCCTCAGGTTTCCTCCCAACAAATAACACAAACCCACACACTCCTACCCACCTGTCTTTTTTTCCCACTAAATTATTTTATTTCTACCCCCCTTATTTTCCTCAATAGACCTGAATTACAAATTATTCTCTCTGTAATCTTATAATTAATTTTCAATTTCTCTTAATGATCTTCTTCCCCTACAGCCTAAAAACGTGCAGGTTTTGACTATCCTTAAAATCAGGGAAATGAACAATCAAACCTTTCATCACAACATACCTTTTGGCTATGTTCTAGTATTGCCTCTTCTTATCAAACCTCTAAAAATGAATACTCCATGTCTACTATCTCTACCCTGAGTCATATTTTATTCTACATTCCAAAATAAACTCAAGCTTCTAAAAAGGATAAATGTAAAATTATAAAAGAAAATATTTTTATTGTTTAAAGTTATAGTAGTTTTATCTTTGTAAGGGAAAGAATAAATTTCAAAAGAAAAATATCTTAGAGCTAATGTTAATTTAAAACTTTAGGGAGAAATTGTATAATAAAACTTGAAATATCTGAGAAAATGCTAGCACTACCTATGATAGAGGATTAATATCTATACTCTTCTAGTTGATTATCAAAACTGATTTTTAAAAATCAGTTTCTCAGATAAAGGACCAAAGACTCTGAACTAATGGTCTTCCAAAGATGAAAATTTAAATTTTTATCAAAATAGAAAGCATTCTATTTTGCTAGTGCAGACATAATAAAACTTAATTTGGCACCTTACCTTTCAAAAAAAAAAGTCCTACCCTATGCTCATAAAGTATATTTCTAGGGGCATATAAATCCACGAGAAGCCAATTTTTCCTTAATATGTAAAAAGCTATAAAAATAATCAGACCTTTTTTCCTTTATATTGACCTCAGAGAATTTTCTTCAAGGAAATACTCTAGTTATCTTTTATTAAGCCATTACTATATTTTAAGAACCATGCTAAGCATTGGGGTTATAGAAATGTACAGGAGACACGTGTGAAGTTTGACAAGAAAATAGGTTGTATGATGAACAGTTATTTGTGATGCTAACATTTTAAACTAATTGGATAAAAACTAAATTGGAACATGGATGGATACTTATAGTAGTCTTCATTTGGTTTTGTTTTATACTTCTAATGTTAAGCATACAAAAATTGTCATTTAGGTAGATGTTTAGGAATGTTTTTTATGGAAACTACCCTCATGATACAGCTTATTAAAAAATAAAAATTTAACTATTTTTAACTCTTGAATACCATATTTTAAAAGATACAAAGGCATCACATTCTTTATAATTCATCAGACAATAATTACATTATACTATACTATGTCTATACACACACACACACACACACACACATATATACACACACATACACAAACACTATATGTAGTAAAGTTACTTGATTACATTTAAGAATATACAGTTGCAGATCCATTACAAACATTGCATTTTGTGATTGTTAGGTGCTCTTATGAGATCGCAAACATTGAACAGAATTGTCTTTACCAGCAGCATAGATACCCCTGCTTTTCACCTGACCCAAAGCAACTTCTCCCTGCCACCCACACCATGTTCCTCCTGTGTACCCTGAAAAAAGAAAACTGAATCTTCCTCTACTAATGAATTGTGACTTTTAGTAGCTAACTATCTTGTTGAGCTTTGCCTCCTAATAAAGTATTCTGCTAGAGAGGGACAAGATATATCTATAGCATATATTTGTGCTAGCAAAGAACCAGATAACCATATTTCCTTCAATTTTTGTCTCATTGTTATAAATTCTTCAAAAGAAATCTTTAAGTTAAAATATCGTGTATGAATGTGTTTGGGGTATTTGTATTGAAGTAGTGCAAAATTGTATAAAAAATGAAGATTAAAATTATTATGGCCTATTGTAGATGATTAAGTAACAACATAATTAAAAACAAACAAGCTTCCACTTAGCACAAGGTCAAACAACCAAAAAACTCTAATAAATATGATTATTTTAAAATTTGTAATAGTTTCTTTATAATATTGATGTAAAGCAGTATAGGATACTGAAATTAACATATTTTAAATTAACAAGTCATGTACAGCATAATTTATTGTTGAGCATATTTCTTGTATTCTATATTACCATCAATAGACAGTTTGTAGTACCTTGATTAAACGGATCTCTTAAACAGAATTTTGAACTTCAAGTTTTTGGGAAAAATATTTTAAACAGTTATTTATTCTAAAGGAAAGAAAGAAAGAAAAAAGACAAGTAGACATGCCCTGTAATCTATAACTTCAAAGTAATTTCACAAACATCTATATCTAATGATGCACTGAATGGTTGAGTATAATTCAATAACCATTTTTTTATAAATATTATGACATTTGATTAATATACTTCATAATGACAGTCAAAATGCAATTAGGAAACCAATTAACCATATCAATACAACTTATGTAAAGAAAGTTTAATTCATATATTTCAAATAAATGAATGATTAAGATAACCAACTTCCATTTCTTGTCTAGAAAATTTCCGGATAAACAGATGGTTATGCATGTCATCTTGGTGGTTTTTTTCATAATCTAAAAGTAAATCACTAAGGTAAATAATTATATTCCCTAACATTCCAAGTATATTGATATTTTATTCTCTAATGTTTGAATATTACTTTCATACTACAGATTAAAGAATCTATTAAAGCTTTTAATTCATTTACTTTCTATTAGTGAAATCAACCTTCTTTCATTTTTCTTATATACATGCCTAAGAAGACAACTTGTTAGTAAGTACTCAAGTATCTGTGTAATAAATGAAAATATACAGTCCCCTTAACTGAGCTCCATGAATTCAAAGAGAGATTTATTTCCCCCTAAAGTAAGTGAAGTATATCTTAAATTCTAAACCAAGTCAGAATTTTTATATAAAATATATTGGGATCATATAGTAACACTAATGTGTACACATACTGATTGTTCCCCCAAAACATCACTACATCATAAGCATGAGGCTATAAATATATTTATCATACTCCTGA